AGGATTAATATTGAAGGTTCTTCTGGTTGTGGGGTGGCTGACAGTGCCACCTAGAAAGGTGCTTGGATTGCGGCAAAGTCCACAAAATCCACAAAATAAGTAGAATAAGTTAAAACCAGACTAGCAAGTGCATGAGCAAATACAAACATTATTCTTTCCCTCTTAAAGCTTGCTCAGCAGAAGTTGTAACATATGTTGACCAGACAGCTAAATTATTGCTGAAATCAGACGTCTTCTGTGAAAATTGACACTGGAACAGGTTGCCAGGGAAGTCGTGGATGCCCCTTCCCTGGAAGTGTTCAAGGCCAGGTTGGATGGGGCTTTGAACAACCTGGTCTAGTGGAAGTTGTCCCTGGCCATGGCAGGGCAGGTGAAACTAAATGATCTTTCAGGTCCCTTCTAACCCAAAGCATTCTATGATTTTATGAAAATGCACTCTAAATATATTGTAGCTTACCTGTGATAGAGAATGTATTCCATCCACTGGGAGGTGAAAACCCATTCCTATGGATTTTATAATTACTAGGATATTTGATAGATTTTCCCTGTTTGGAAAATAAAAAAATGATACATTTTACTCAACAGACACATCAAAATACTCTTCATTTTTATTTTTTAAAGTCAGTGAAGTGCACACCCATGAGAAAACAAATTAAATGTTTGTATTTAATTTCAGGTTTAGTTGTTTCTCATAATTTATCATATCAAAACTTGAAATAACAGCAAGCACATAACATTACCTGTTCAACACCTTTTGGATAATTTGCAGGTGATTAGAATTAAGCCACTGAACACCACCTACAATTAATACGGTCTGGTCTGTGTTCTCCAGGGGACGTGATCTGAAACCCAGAAAGGAAAAACAACAAATGTTGCCTTAAAACAGATGGCAAACATTTTAACTGCTTTGCATCACATTTCAATGAACTCTATCTGGCATCAGAGGCCTGATGTAATTTTCTACTATTTTTCAACCACACAATATGGGCTGCACATGTTGTGCTTAATTGTTCACTGACTTTAATTGTAAAATACATTAAACACATTTGCAAATGGAATTAGAAGACAAACAAGACAGCAACAGTTTGTATGGTACCTGTGCAGCAGTTGTTCTAGTGCTTTTTCAAAAGTTGGTCTCTGGCTTGCATTCATCCAAAACTGGGGGTAGTAGGAGTAACTGATAAATGTTTTCCCTTCATTGATGTTATGATAACATTTCACATCGTGAGTCTTTTGCCATTCCTGAAGAGTCTTATTCACTCTTTCTATCAGATAGTACATCATCCCTCTGTTTGTGGAGTCACCTATAAAAAGGATCTTTGGATGGAAAAAAATATATGACTTAGAAGTTGTTCACTCCAAAACCCAAAAGCTAAGGAAAGAATGCAGCTAGTCTGGAGATTTTTTAAACCCTTCTCATAATGTACATGAAATATCTCGGTGAGCTGCCCTGTCTGCAGCCCTGTCATCTCCATACTGGTGTTCTCCTTAAGCAAAATCTGTGTGATCTGGCTAATAAAAAGCTCTATTATGTGTTTCAAAGACAAAAAGTACAGGTTATAGATGGCTATGGCTGTACAGTTAGTACTGCATGTTTCATCCTTTTTGATAGTTTCTTTTGCTTAAGTTTATATTTACTTCTAATTGCTAGCATAGAGTCTTGTGATTACTTGCAGCTTCCTGCTTTTGTTGGTCCAGTTTTTCATGTGGTTTGTTCCTACTCAGCATGTCTTTGTTAAAGTATGTCTTCCATAAATGTGATTCATTAGAATTTACACTGAAGTAACACACACATCCATGAACACAGCTGTTGCCTTATTTGTAGAGAGAGATGGTCTTTCAGAGCCATTTCAGAGGGGAATAAAAAAGGAGGTGATTTTTGTGGTGGATAATATGAATAAAGTTCTGTCATGTGTGAGATGATCACTGGGAAGCACTGTGGCCTGAAGGGAGTTAGAAGTGCTATCAGGATGATGGAAGTACTTCAAGTACCAGCAGTCTTCTCTGAGTTACTTTGAACTTGCAAATGAAAGAAGTCAAATTTAGGTTTGCACCTACTTGTTTTATAGACTCCCCTGACAATTCAAACACCTCTGTATGTTTTTGTTTTT